AAGCATATCCTTGAAGGGAGCAAATCATCGTGATTAATAGTGGCACATTCATCTAATGTTTACTTGAAGTCCTGTTTGCTATACAGAACCTGCTTTAAGCAACTTTCACCTCTGAAGATTGGGTGACTGATTTGTACTTCACTTACTCTGCAAGGTGAATCTTTCTGTTTTTGTTTTAATATTGGGGTCTATGACCTACAGAAAAAGGCACATGGGTAATACCTGTCGAAACTTGATCAGTTTATATCTATACCTTAGCTTGGCAATTAATTTCTAACAAAGACAAAGATGGTTTTAATTAAACTACACAAAAACAGCCTTACGTGTTACATGTAACCAAAAGTGTAAATTGATTGCAGAATATATGCAAAAAAAAAATGCTGGTGTGTTGGTGTCACCACAAGGCTTCTCTGCTTACTTGACCAGCAGAATGTCCTTGACCAATCAGCTTCACCCATTTTTGGCTTTGCTGGTCCATCGGCACCATATTAGCATAAACCTGTATGGAAATTCAGGTCCAAGTTGGTCTTTTCATGTGGGGTTCCTTCGGTTCAAATGGAGCTTCTGCACTCTGGAATGCATTACCCGGTTTAGTTAACTTTTTGACAAGTTCAGTTAAGTGTATCTCTTTCTTAATCTTCCATTCATCCAGAGGCAATGGTTGATGTTTGCTTTTGATGGTTCCTCTTGGACCCTGCAGTCCCAATGGGGTTTCTCTACTAAATCATCAACATCACAGACAGCAATATAAGACTAGAGGTAAGACTCTGTTCTTCATCATTGAGTTTGTTAGCATGTACATTTGTGAAAATCTTTAACACATATCCACCTTCTGCTCACCGCTGATCTTGTCTGACTGGGACAGTGTCAACTGAGCACCATGTAACGTGATGAACGGGTGTCCATCATGTGTCCATCAGAGAGGACAGTGCTCTCACAAACTCACACACAAACACGCACACATTCACACGCCTCTTGCTCCTTGCTTCAGGGCCCTCAGCCAGAAGAAGCGAGGGTGGTTGGGCTAAGGGTCTTCTTCTGCAAGACATCTGGAGCTCACAGGTTGCTCTTGGCATTGTCCCGTTGAACCCTACAACACTTTCCTCTGTCCACCATCACTATGTCCTCTGTTATCGAACTGCAGGTGGAACTATCTTGTGGTGTGGAGGTGAACTGCAATCCAGTACCCATACCATTCTGGCTGTTGGACACCAGCATCTGCTTCTCTTCTGGACTGCCGAGCCGGGAGGTAGTGGTAGCGATATCAGGTAGCCGCGAGAGGTTGGAAGGAGGGACCATGATGCTGCCACTCTTC